TTTACCGCGTTATTGTACTTGATGTTTGCAGAGTATAATAATACCAGTACCAGTTGAAATCTCATCTGTTGGCTCCGTGTTCGTATTTTATCATCGCCGCCAGGGAAGTCTTTTTGTTACTGTTGCCATTTTGGTATTTGAACCATCACACCTGTACTATACCAATTACGGTAATATTACGTTGCGTGTGACAAAAATGAATGGATTGAAAAAAAGTTTACATTCTGTTGAATAATAATATAAAACAATTAAGGTAGCAAGACTATTATTTGTGTTGAAAATTACGATTTTGACATTTATTTATTAATTGATGAAATGCACTATAAACTTTCATGTGAGAAAGTCAACATAACATAGAAATTATGTCATGTAAGTTGGTTAAAATGTAGATTTTCTGAAGGGAAGCAAGGTGGCCTCAGTAGTGTTTTCCAAAATCAACAACACAGGTTTAATCTGTGTGCCTATAAGTTTCAAAGATAAACTCAAGACAAAGCAATGTTAGGATGTGTTATCAGTAGCTATCTGACACACAATGAGTGTTTCCAAACATTTGAGTGGTTTGTCTCCGCCCCTGTTTGTTTCACAGATTAGTCATTTGCATATGAATGTGTCAGACACAAGGTCACACAGCCACTGAAAAAATTGATTTTGGTGTTTTCATCTGCCGAATTTATCCAATTATAGCTATTCCATTGCTTTATTTTTTTGGTTTCCAATAACCTCACACATTTGGATGTTCCCTACACATGTTAAAACCATGGAAGGTAGTAACGGAAGGAGCCATGACGCCTATCAAGTGGCCACATAAGCCTCTTAACTGGTTTATTTCCTTTTGTTTCAACCCAAATTAATCCTGATAAGGACATTGTCTAGCTCATCTTTGATGTCAATGATAGTTTGCGATTGTTTACACAAGTAATGTGTTAGTGGAGTATGATATAACCTTGCCGATTTTTAATGTGACCATAAAATATATGCGCATTATGAAACTACGGTCATCACACGTGCGCACTGGGTTTGTTTAGGTGTGAAAGGTCAAAATACGTATTTCACGACCGGAAATTCAACAGATGAACGTTTGACTTCACAAATTTCACATGTTTTAATTATTAGCGACTGTAACTATAACAAGATTCCGAGTGCATACAACAACAATTCTAAGGACTCCTAAAAAATATTATTACAGAGAAAGTGTCTAAGCATGCTCTTCTTTCGATACTATCTTTTCTGTTGGTGTTCGCCGATGTCCGGTGGTCGAAAATTTTGACAGTTTCGGGCACCAAACCTACGCACTGACAATGGTACCATTGAATAATGCAATCTACACAAGCAATCATTGATTAAGTCTCATTACCATTACAAATACAAAATTCACGATATTTTATCAGTTCTTCTTCAATCAATGTTATATCTGACAAATTTCCATTAAAATTCGCCAAGATCTACGCAAACAACAGCATTCAAACTAGACGTTATTTTCAACATTCTACATGCAAGGTTCGACTATCGCTTCCGAACATGCTCCGAATATTATCGAATGCTTGAGATTAGCGTAACCCATTGTACGAAGGTGCTAAAAGC